TTTTACTTTCTTTGTGAAAGATCACATAACTGTATCCTGTGGGTTTGTCTTTGTGCCTTCTATTCTGTTTCATTGGTCTACATGTCTGTCTACAGGACAGCACTGTGCTGTTTCGTTGTGATAGTTGTGTAGTATGATTTAAAACTGGGTATTGTGATGCCTCCAGAATTTCTCTTTTTGCTTAAAATTGCTTTGGTTATTCTGAGATTTTTAATCTATCCTATGAATTTTAGGGGTGCTTTTTCTGGTTCTCTAAAGACTCTTAGTATTTTGATGGAAATTGCATTTAATCTGAAGATTGCTTTTGGTAATATGGCCATTTTAATCCTTTTACATGAACAAGGGAGGTTTTTCCATCTTCTTGTGTCTTCTTTAGTTTTCTTCTGTGTTCTATAATTTTCATTGTAGAGGTCTTTCACCTCCTTGGTTAGATTTATTCCCAGGGGCTTTTTTTTTTTTTTTGAGGCTATTGTGAATGGAATTATTTTCCTAATTTCTTTTTCAGCAGGTTATTGTATAAAAAGCTACCATGTTTTTTCTGTGTTGATTTTGTGTCCTTCTACTTTGTTGAATTTGTTTGTTAACTCTAGAAGTATTCTGATGGAGCTTTTTGTATTGTTTAAGTATGGGATCAGATATGATCCTCTGTAAACAGTGATAATTTGACTTTTACCTTTACTATTGGCATATATTTTATTTCCTCCTGTTGACTAATTAGTCTGGCCAACATTTAAAGTACTATATTGAATAGGGGGTGGTGAAATGGACATGTTTGTCTTGTTCCTTATTTCAGAGGAAATTCTTTCATTTTTTTTCCCTTTAAGTATGATGTTGACTTTGGGTTTATTGTGTATAACGTAAATGATTTTGAGATCATTTTTTTCTATTCCCAGTTTCTTTTGTGATTTTATCATGAATGGGTACTGAGTTGTGCCGAGTTTTCTGTATTTATTGAGATTGCTACATGATTTTTGTCCTCGATTCTATTTACATGGTGAATTACATTTATTGATTTGCATATATTGACCTATCCTCATATTCCTGAAATGAACTCACTTGATCTTTTTATTCAATCTTAATGTGTTGTTGAATGTAATTTGCTAATATTAAGGATTTTTGCATCTATGTTCTTCTAGGATATTGGTATGTAATTTTCTTTCCTTGATGTGTCCTTATCTGGTTTAGGTTTCAAGTGATACTGGCTTCATAGAGTAAATTTGGAAGTGCCCCCCAGCCCCTTTCTATTTCATGGAATAAGGTGAAGAGTGTTGGTATTAGTTTTTCTGTAAAGGTCTGGTAGAATTTGAGAATCCATCTGGTTCTGAGCCTTCCTTTGGTGCAAGGCTTTTATTACTGATTCAGTCTCATTGCTTGATGTTGGCTGGACCATTTACATTAGGGATCCTCTTGGTTCAATTTGGGTAGGTCATATGTTTCTAGAAATTTATCCCATTTCTTCTCAATTTTTCAACTTATTGGAGTGCAAGTTTTCAAAATAGCCCCTAATGAAGATCCCATGAATTTCAGTGATGTCTGTGGTGATGTCTCCTTTTTTATTTCTAATTTTATTAATTTGGGCCTTTCTCCTTCTTTTGGTTAGTTAGGCTAATGGTTCATCAATTGTATTTATCTTTTCAAAGGACCAATTCTTTATTACACTGATCCTTTGTATTGTTTTTAAATTCTTTATGCCGTTAATTTAGACTCTGCTCTTAATTGTTTCCTTCTTCCATTACTTTTGGATTGGTTTGTTCTTGTTTATCTAGGATTTTGATATGCAACATTAGGCTGTGTAGGTGGGGGTCTTTTTAATTTTTTTATGTTGACACTAAATTATAAACTCCCCTCTAAGAACTGCCTTTATAGTGTTCCTAGGATTCTAATATGTCGTATCTCCATTTTCACTTGATTCTAAGAATTTAAAAATTTCTTCTCTGATTTTTTTCTATCACCCATTCATCATTCAAAAGTATATTGTTATACTCTGGTTTCTCTTCAGATCGTATAAATCTTTCGCCTTTTACAAAAGTGTATTGTTCAGTTGGGTGTGGTAGAGCAGGCCTGAAATCCAAACTACTTAAGAGGCCGAGAGAGGAGGATTCACAGGTTCTAAGTGAACCTGGGCAACTTAGTAGGGAGACCCTGTCTCAAAATGAAGACTAAAAAGGGCCAGGGATGTAGTTTAGTGGTAGAGTAGCTCTGGGCTCAATTCCAGTACTGCCTGACTCCACAAAAGTATACATTGTTCAGTCTCCATGTGTTTATATACTTTTTCTTGCTCTTAATTTTTAATTTCATTTCATTAGGTAGTTTTTCTTTCTCTTAATTCTTAATTTCATTCCATTATGATCTGATAAAATACAAGTAATTATGTCAATAATTTTTTTTTGTGTGTAATTGTTGCCTAAAATATGGTCTATTTTGGAGAAAGTTCTATGAGAGGCTGGGAAGAAAGTGTATTTAGTTTTTGGGTATGACATTCTATAAATGTGGGTTAAGTCCATTCCATTTGATTTATAGTATTTTTTTATGTCTGAAGTGTCTTTGTTGATTTTATATCCAGATGGCCTACTATTGGTAAGAGAGGTGTGTTGAAATCATTCAGTATTATTGTTGTGGGATCTGAGCCCATGTTGAGTAGTATTTGTTTTATGTAATTAGGTGCAGTGATGTTTGGGGCACAATATTTACTGTCATTTTTATGTCTTCTTGTTGGACTGTTTCCATTACCAGTATGAAGTGATCTTTGTCTCTTCTGATTAATTTTACCTTGAAGTCTGCTTTGCCCAATAGAAGAGTAGATACTCCTGCTTGCTCCAGGCTCCATTTGCAGGGAATATCACTTTTTATCCTTTAACTTTCAACCTGTGGATGTCTTTGCCTGAGAGGTGTATATCTCTTGTGTACAACACATATTGTTGGATCTTGTTTTAAAATCCAATTTGCCAATCTGTGTCTTTTAATTAGAGTTAAGACCATTTATATTCAGTGTTATTATAGAGAGCTGTTTAGTATTTCCTGCCATTTTGCTTTACTTCTGTTGTTTAATTCAATCCTAAGTCTCATTTGTTTAAATAGTCTTCTAATGAGATTTATCCTTTCCTGAGCTCTGCTATTTTTGAAATCTTCTCTTGTGTTTAGGAATTCTTTAAGTATCTTTTGTAATACTGGCTTAGTAGTCATGAATTCTTTTAGCTTTTTCTCATCTTCGAAAGTTTTATTTCACTTTCTGTTACGAATGATAGCTTTGCTGGATATAGTAATCTTGCTATGCAGTTATTTTCCTTCAGGGCTTGAAACACATCTTTCCATGCCCTCCTTGATTTTAGAGTTTTGAGAAATCAGATGTTATTTTGATTGGTTCATCTCTAAATGTAATCTGACATTTTTTCTTGAGGCTTTAAAAATTCTATTTTTGTTCTGTATATCTGGCATTTTAATTATAACATATAATGGAGAGGATGTTTTTGATCTTATCTATTTGGGATTATAAACACCTTTCATATATGGACATTCTTTTCTTTCCCAAGGTCTGGAAAAATTTCTGCTATCATTTCACTAAAATACTTGTCAGTGCCATTGACCTGTATTTCTATTCCTTCCTTGATGCTGATGATTCTCAAGTTTAATCTCTTAATGTCCCAGAATTCTTGTATATTCTGATAAAAACTTCTACTCCTGCTTTATTGTTTGAATATTCAAGGCCAACCACTTTGTTTTCCAGCTCTGAGATTCTGTCTTCTACTTGGTCTATTATGTAGAGAGACTCTCAACTGACATTTTCATTTGATTCACTGTGCCTGTCATTTCTAAGGTTTTTATTTAGTTCTTTTTTTAATTCTCTATTTCTTTTTTGAATTCCATTTATACCCTGTATTGATTTCCTTAAATTATCCATTTGTTTTCTGTGTTCTCTTGAAATTTATTGATCTATTTTGTAATCATCCTTTATCTGTTATTTCATCCATTTCTCTATCTTTGGAGTCAGTTACTACTGAATTACAAATTTTAGGTGTCATGTTACCTTTTTTTTCATATTTTTTGTATTCCTATGTTGAGATTTGTGTATCTGTTGGGATGGATTTCTCTCTACTTTTATGTCAGGTCCTTATGGTCCTTTCTCTTGGCAAAGTGTTCTGGAATATCTGTTGTGAGTTGTCGTCCAAGTGTGTTTCATAGTATGGTTTCCCTGCTGGTTCTTTGATGATGTTTAATGTACATTGATTCAGAGTTTACTGTGTTGGAGGGTGATAATCTCACCTTCTCTGTAGATCTTACAAGAGTGGGGTCCTTCTATTAGGTCAGGCAATTGTTTTGTATATAGCAACGCATATGAAGTACACCCTATGTAGCCTATGTAATTGCTCTTCTAGACTTGACAACTGTGTATATTCTAAAGGGGTATGAGAGCAATTTAGATGGAGATACCTTGTTGGTGCAGTGTATTATTGTTGTATTATTATATTGTATTATTTTTCCCTGCTACTACTATAGAAATGGATACCATGAGTGGGATCTGAGGCCCCTCATAACTATTCCTACTGAAGGTCTGGTCACTGGTTTGGGATTTTTGTCTCTCCTGTTCTTCATGTTAATGTACTAATGAAGTTTGAGTCTATTAGGTTGTGTGTGGTACAGGTGTGCTGTTTCTTAGAGAATGTATACTTTGAATCATGTTTATTGGCTATTTAGGCTTTCAGTAAAAATGTATACTTTCAAGTACTAAAATACATTTCAGATAGTTCAGTTTAGTTGGAAAAAAAAAAGAGTTGAATATTCCCCCATTTTGTTTTCTTTCTGATATAACCCTGCATCCCTCATATAATGTAATGCATATTCCTTGGCTGTCATTTAAAACATTTTCTTATGATAAATCTTTTGCTCAATTTCAGGAGAATTGATAAATTCCACTTTGGCCTTGTAGTTTTGTTCCAGGGCCACCACAAAAGCTCATGTCTATGTTTTTTTTTTTTTTTCCGTGTGTCATTTCCCCACTGTAGTCTGATCCTGATCTCCCAGCAGATGTGCAGACACCATCCTCGGCTGAGCTGGGCAGGTATCCGGGCCTGCCCTTCACCCCGGCCTCTCAGTACATCCCACCCCAGCCGTCCATCGAGGAGGCCCGCCAGACCATGCACTCCCTCCTGGACGACGCCTTTGCCCTGGTGGCCCCCAGCAGCCAGGCTGCAGGTGCAGCAGGTGCAGTGTCCGGGGTCCCAGCCAGCCTGCCTGTGAACAGCACCCCTTCCCGCGAGGAAAGGCGAGCCACCCAATGGGGGTCCTTCTACAGCCCAGCCCAGACCGCCAACAATCCCTGCAGTGTAAGTTCTGACCTTCTGGAATTCTTTCCTGGGCAAGATAATGGAGTTTTGTGGCCTAACTGCATCTCTTGCAGGTTCCCCATAAAACTCAGGTTGTATTTGATAAGGATTCAATCTTGGATGATAGGTCTTGCTTTTTATCATCTTCTGCTAAGTTAATTCTTAATATTGGAAACGTTGTTTTATGCTGCTCTGATATTTTGTGGAGCAGTTCAGAGGATTTTGTGGAAGCATGTTCCTGGTTCTCTCGCTGTGTGATGAAATGGAGGTAGTTTAACTGTCAAAACATATTTGCACTCACGTCTCCAGTTTAGACTGGAGCAGTTTGGAATGGACCCAAATTGTTTCACCTCTTGTATGAGGTGAGGCCCCCTGAGGGTCCGGAAGCATAGGCAGCGGTCCAGGCATGGGCACTGTTCACAAATGTCAACTGCCCATCTTGGGAGCTGACGTTTTAGCATTTCCTCTGCCTTTTCATCGCCCTTCGTGTATGTTTTTCGTTTTTTGGTTGGTTCTTTCAAATTTGCCTTCTTACGACTTGGAGAAAGAGTAACACTCAAGGAAGTAATGTTCATGTAGTTTTTGCTTAGTTCAAAAGAAATGATTTGACTGAGGATTGGTGACATTAACTCTGGAGAGAAATGAATAGACCACAACTTAAATTTATTAGTTGGGAAAAGTTATACTGGGTTCTTATTTTATTTTATTTTATTTTATTTTTTAGCTGTAGATGGACAGCCGGCCTTTGTTTTATTTGTTTATTTTTTCATGCGGTGCTGAGGATGGAACCCAGTGACTCACATGTGCTATGCAAGTGCTCTGCCACTGAGCCCCAGCCCCAGCCCTGGCTCCTTCTAGTTTTGTTTCCCTTATTCAGGTGTGATGGGTCTCTCATCATTGAGTGACAATAAAAAAATTTTTAACTCTGAAATTGGTTTGAATTTTCAGGCCTTTGGTAATAGATTGTTTCCTTCCAGGTCTGGGAGACATAGTGCTTGCAGTGTGGGTAGCTGGTACCGTGGGCAGGGGGAGGGTACCATTCAGTGTAATTGTTTTTGTTTTTAATATGAAAATCTAGCTTGTTCTAATAGTAGATGTTAAACTGCTTCAAGGTTATATCTGGTGGTTATAATCTTTTAGGAAATGGTTGATACAGAACACAACTCAGTGATAAAACAAGTGTGGGTACAGTTGCTGTCTGGTCTCATTTGCATTTTCATTCAGGTGCATTACAGAGTACCTCTGTGCCTGGGGCCCTGCTAGGTGTTGGGGACATCGTGGTGTACAGCACAGGTCCCTCCTCTCTAGCTCTTGCACTCCAGTGGGGACCAAAACAGTAATTCTAGTACACTGTTGTCAGTGCCATGGAGAGGAGGCAATGTGGAAGAGTACCTAGCTGCATCTTGAGGAGTTTAGGAAGACTTTTGTGGATAAAATGACATCTGATTTGCTGTCTAAAGGATAATTAGTGGGTCCCGGATGTCTTCCTTACTGAAACAACTAAAAAACTGAATGAACTATGTGGGTTTGTGACACTGGATAGTAGGCAACAAAGGACAGGGATTGCCAAGAAGCAAGTTGAGTCCTACTGTTGCTCCAGCTTATGCCCAGAGAGAGTTTCTGGCCACCACACAGGGAGGGGGACCAGGCAGAAGTCAGAGGACTGCCTGAGCTGAGGAGATGGATTGGAAGTCCAGGGAGGGAAAGGCAGCTAGAGTTCACAGAGGTGCCTGTAGGACATGATCCCACTTTCTCTGAAGGTCTCACAAGAGTGGGGTCCTTCTAGTAGGTCAGTGAGGCTTATGGAGTACACCCTATGTAAGTGCTCTTCTACTTAACAACTCCATATATTCTAAAGGGGTATGGGAGCAATTTAGGTTGAGATACCTCATAGTTGTGGTGTCCACACCTTTGTATTGTTTTTCTCTGCTTCATGAGTGGGAAAAGATTAAAGCTGCTCTAGTTCTACTGAACAAAGCAGACAAACATAAAACTTGAATCCAAATAAAGCTCAAGAGTATTTATAGAAACAAAAATATGCAGCATCCAATAAGGTAAAATTAATAATGTCTGGCATCCAATCAAAACTAACTAGACAAGCACAGAAACAAGGAAAAGACATGGATGATAAAAATAGCAAACAAGGGTATTTAAAGAATTATTTTAATGTAGTTTCATATATTTAAGAAGCTAGAGGAAAGATCAAGCATGTTAATTAGAGACCTTGAAGATATTAAAGGATATGAATTAAACTTAGAGATGAAAACTCTAGTATCTGAGAGGAAGAATATACGGGGTGAGATCAATGCCCAGTTAGGTATTGCAGAAGAAAAGATTAGTGGACTTGGAATATATGGTAATAAAAATTATATATTGTCAAACAAAGAGAGGAAATGGAATGAAAAACACAAACAGATGATTAATGAGCTATGCAGTAGCTTCAAGTGGACGAATACACATGACATTTGGAGTTCTCAGAGAGCAGGAGAGACAAAAAATTTATTAAGGAAATAATGGCCAAACCAATACTGAGAAAAAAAAAAAAAAGACTGGAGTCATCCCACTCCTGTTTTAAAGTTATATTACAAAACGATAGTAACTAAAACAGTATGATACTGGTATGAAGACAGAAACACAAATCAATGGAATAGAACAGAAAGCCCAGATAAATCCTTACACATGTGGTCAATTGATTTTCAGCAAGGACATCAGGAGGACACAGTGGGGGAAAGGATAGTCTCCTCGATAAACGATGCTGAGAAAATTGAATTTCCAAATGCAGAAGAAAGAAATTGGACCCTTACTTTATATCATACACAAAAATCAACTGAAAATGGATAAAAGACTTAAAATATTAAGACCTAAGCCATAAAATTCCTAGAAGAGAACATGGGGAAAAGCTCCTTGATGTTGACTTGGCAATGACTTTTATTTTTAATATCACATTGAAAAAATCAGGCTACAAAAGCAAACTAAATAAAGGGGATTACATCAAACTAAAAAGCTCCTAAACAGGAAAACAGTTAACAAAATGAAAAGTTAATCTACAGACTAGGAAAAGGTGATTACATCAAACTAAAAAGCTCCTAAACAGGAAAACAGTTAACAAAATGAAAAGTTAATCTACAGACTAGGAAAAGGTATTTACAAATCACATATCTGATAGGGAGGGGGTTAATATCCAAAATTTATGAAGAACTCTTAATAGCTAGATAACAAAAAACCAATTGAATTTAATTTCTCAGACAAACTTAATTTCTCCAAAGAAAACATAAAAATCAATAGCAGGTATATGAAAATGTGTTCAACCTCAAAAATCATCAGGAAAATGCAAATTAAAATTAAAATCATCATGAGATCTCACCTCATGTTAATGTTGATGACAGTGTTGAGAAAGGGAATCCTAGTGCACTGTTGGTGGGAATAAAGATTAATACAGCCAGTATGGAAAACAAGATGGCGGATCCTAAACAAATTAAAACCAGAACTACAATGTGACCCCGCAGTCCCTCTTCTGTGTGTATAGAAAGGATGTATCACCTGCCTTGTAGGAAATGTTCCAGGAAATCCTTCAGGTAGAAGAAGCACAGTGATGTCAGGTAAATATTTGAATGAATAAAATACAAATGAATGAAAAGCTCTGGAAATGTTAATATGTGGTTAATTATTTTTTTGAAAACTTCATTATTTAAAGATATTAAAAAGACAATTGACTCTTTAAAACAAAAGTAATGACAAAATATTGTGGGGTTTGTAACCTATATAGAAGGAAAATATATAAAAATAGCACAAAGGCCAATAGGGAGAGATTGATGTTTGCTCTTTTGATGGTCTTGTGCTGTATGTGAGTAGACTAAAGCACTGACCAGTAGACAGGGACAGAGGGTGTACACATCCTATTGTTAGCCAACCTATTGTTAGCCAACAAATGAGTTAAAAGAAATCATAAAATGTAGTCCCTGGAAGGCAGAAGAAGAGGAAAAAAAGGAACAAAGAACGGGTGGGGAAAAGAGAAAACAGAAACCAGCAAGGTTGGTTTCAGTCCAGCCTTATTAAGAGTCACATTAGGGGCTGGGGATGTGGCTCAAGCGGTAGCGTGCTCACCTGGCATGTGTGCGGCCCGGGTTCGATCCTCAGCACCACATACAAACAAAGATGTTGTGTCTGCCGATAACTAAAAAATAAATATTAAAAAAAACTCTCTCTCTCTCTCTCTCTCTCTCTCTCTCTCTCTCTCTCTTTAAAAAAAAAAGAAAAAGAAAAACGTAATATAAAATTTACAAAAAAAAAAGAGTCATATTAAACATAGGTGGTCTAAACATCCCTTTGAAAGGGCAGAGCTTGTCAGAGTGGATAAAAAGCAAGATCCAAACAATTGCTTGGCGACAAGACACCCACATTAAATACAGAGGTACAAACTTGGTTGAAAGTATGGAGAAAGGTATGCCATACTAACACTAAACACGGAAAGTTGGAGTGGATTTATTACCATCAGCCAAAAGAGATCTTATAGTAGAGAGTATTATCCAGCATAGAGGATCATTTCATAATAACAAGGTGGTCACTTTTCATCAAGAAGAAAAAATCTCAGCCAGGCACAGTGGCACACACCTATAATCCCAGCAGCTTGTGAGGCTGAGGCAGGAGGATTGAAAATTCAAAGCCAGCCTCAGCAACTTAGTGAGACTCTGTCTCTAAATAAGAAAAACAACAACAACAAAACAGGGCTGGGGCTCAGTGTTTAAATGCCTCTGGATTCAATCCCTGGTACCATTAAACAAACAAACAACAAAAAAAAAATGAAGACAAAATATTAAATATTTATTTGCATGAAGCAAAAACAGATAGAATTACACATAAATATAAATCCTCAATTAAAATTGGAGATTTCCAATACTCCTCTTTCAATAACTGGTAGGACAAATATACAGAAAATCACTAAGGTAGAGGTGAATTGAATAACACTACCAACTTGAAATAATTGACATATAGAGAACAGGGAGCTAATAAGAGCACAATGTATATTCTTTCAATCATGGAATTTTTACCAAAATGGAACATATTCTGGGCAACAAAGCTAATCTCAATAAATAGAAAAGATTCAAATTATACAGACAATCCAATAAAAACTTCATCAAAGAAGATATAGAAATGGAAAAACAAATGTAGTATGTCCATATTACTCAGTAATAAAAATGAACTATTAGCCACACATGGTGGCTCAAGCCTGTAATCCCAGGAGCCTGGGAGCCTGAGTCAGGAGCTCTTGAGTTCAAAGCCAGCCTCAGCAACAGCAAGGTGCTTAGCAACTCAGTGAGACCCTGGGGATGTGGCTCAGTGGTTGAGTGACCCTGAGTTCAATCCCCAGAACCATCCCCCCAAAATAAATATTGAATCAGACAAAAACATAATTGACTCTCATAAATAATTATGCTAAGTAGAGGAAGCCAGACCAAAGAAAATGAATATATACTATGAAATTCCATTGAAATACAAGTTTAAAAAATGCATACAAATCTGTAGTGACAGAAAACAATCAGTGGTTGCCGAGATGGCTCAGGTGGGGACATCAGTTGGAAGGATTATAAAGGGGCACCCAAAAACTTTGGGGGTGAGAGCTGTGTTCATTGTCTTGATTGTGGTGGTAATGTACAGTTACAGTCATACATCAAAGCTTATAGAAGTGCATTCTTTAAATATGTGCAGTTTATTGTATGTCAGTTACAACTCAATAAAGGTGTTAAAAACTTCTTCCCCCAAGTGTGCTTGATATGTATATTAGCTAGGATTCTCCAGAGAAACAGAGCCTATGACGTGTGTGTGGAGAGAGAGATTAAGATTTATTGATTATAGCCGGGCACAGTGATGCACACCTGTAATCCTGGCAGCTCAGGAGGCTAAGGCAGGAGGATGGTGAGTTTAAAGCCAGAGCAACTCAGTGACACCCAATCTCTACATAGAATATAAAAAAGGGCTGGGGATGTGGCTCAGTGGTTAAGACCTTGGGTTCAATCCCCGATATAAAAAAATAAAAAGAGTGACTGATTATGAGGAATTGGCTCACTTGATTGTGGAGGCTGAGAAGCTCATGATCTGCTATCTGCAGGCTGGAGGACCAGGAGAACCAGGGGTGTCCTGAGGCCTGAGCTGAATCTGAAAGCCTGCAAAACAGGATCTCCAAGAGCAGGAATGAGGAGGCAGAGGGAGCACCACCCCACCTTCCTCCCCCTTTTTGTTCTACTGAGGCCGTCAGTGGAGTGGCTGAGGTCAGCTGCACTGGGGAAGCCACCTTCTTTACTGGGTCTACCCAGTAAACACAGAAATAGTGTTTAACCAGGTATCTGGGCACCCTGTAGCCCAGTCACCGTGTGTTCTTAACAGTGATTGGTTCTAGCATTTCGCACAGAAGGGGCAGTGAAGGGGTGGTTCATGAGGCAGGAGAGAGAAAGCAAGAAGCCCACAGTCATAGTGCCCACCTCATCCCCAGGGTGACACCTTCACGTTGAAGGGCTCTGAGCAGACGGGAGATGTAACTAGGTAAGCCACTGTGAGAGATTTGCCCCACGTTGGGCTTCAGGGTGATGTCAGTACAAGAGTAGAGGCAGGGGGACCATTGGGAGGCTGGTGGAGCAGTCTTTGTGACTGTCAGTGGCTCCAGCCAGTAGACTGGTGTGGATGGAGTTGAGAGGAAGAATCCAGAAGGTTCCACCTGTTTAATTGCTGGCCGCATTGAGCCAGCATGGAAGAAGACTGAGGACACAGGAAAGAGGGTGCCGTGGGTCGAGGGTACCCGGGGAGGAACTGTGTTTGGAAACGACTGGACGTATTCCTGCCAACTCAACAGGAAGGAGAGGTTGGGTGGCATGAAGCTGAGGAGCCACATCTCAAGGCTTCTGTGCTCCCTGTGGGGACAGCAGAGCCGTCTGTTGAGAAGGAGGGAAGAAGTGTGGCTGGCTCGGTGGTTTGGGGGAGAGTCGGGATCCGAAATGCCTGTTGTAGAGAATTTGAGATCACAGATTGGAGGCACAGCCTGAGGTCCCTGTTGAGGTTGACCTGCAGGAAATTATAGTGGCGGAAGTGAGAGTTCTCCACCTGGCCTTGTGGTTCAACATCGGACACCCAGGCGAGAGGCCGAGAAGGCAGACGGTGGGGTTGACCCAGAATTAAGGCTCTATCAGGGGACTGTGACAAGGGGACCCCTGGCAGGCGCTGTGCGGTGAGAGATGCCGTTGAAATGTGATAGCCCTCCCACTAACAAGGAGTGAGAGAGAACTGGCCTGGGAAGCACACAGAGCCAGCGGTGCTGCCTCTCCAATCTGTCCACTAGTGGGCGCCACGTCCTCAGGATCATCTCAGGAGCTTCCCGATCCTTTCCCAGCCTCTGTCTGGAAGGTGCCCGGACAGCTCCGCCTGCAGGTGACAAGTGAAATGTAGTTTTGGGGTGTTGAGAAGACCAAGCTGCTGCAGGACTTGCACCTCGAGACATTTGTGGGATGAGGAGGGGAGCTAGGATGAGGAGGAAGATCTGCCAAGAGCCTGTTTGCTTAGTCTTGAGATTTCCAAGACGAAAGCTCTGGTCTCACTTTTTGACCTGAACTTGGTCACTACTGACCGTGTCTCCTTGCCCCCAGGCTTTTCCTTGATCCTACTGCTTCCAGCCCCAGACTGCCAGGTCGCCCCCCAGCCAGCCCCTGTCTGAGTGGAGGTGCACCTCTGCTCGCTCTTGGGTGGGGTCAAGAGCCACACCGTGCTGTGAGAATCATTTTTTCCCTTGGCCGCTGCTTTTCTCCATTTATAGCATGATTCTTCTCCTTCACTTGCACGAATTTTTAGCAGTAATTTTTGACAGATTTGTTTTACTACTTTTATTATTTGTTCCTGGCTCTTAGGTGTTAGAGATGAAAGATTCCATGATGATGCCTTAACCTACCTTCTCAACCAGGAATTCAAATGCATTCTAGTATCTCTTATTGTGGATTTTTTTAAAAGAAAAATCAATTGTGGACTTTTTGACGTCACCCTGATATTTGTTCAATGGGAGTGGTATTGATTTAATCTAGTGGAAAACCAGGATCATATAAATTTCAGCATGTTGATAAACTGGTGGTAAAGTTACTGGTTTGTTGCCAGGACGAACCTAACCATCCTTTATTTGCTTCTTCTGACAGTGAAAACCAGAGGAATGTGGGTTTCAAGATGCCTTCAGTCACCTCGTGAGCCTCTGGGTTCCGCCCGATGACATTCTGCTCCTTTTTACCAGCAGGGCGGTGTGGGTTAGGCAGCTGTGAGTCAGGCAGCTGGGATGTGGTGTTCCTGCTGCCCTGAGTGGAGCTCCACTCTTGGAGTCACCCTATGTGCAGGCCTCGGGGCCAGCTAAGGTCTTTTACAACCTGCCTCTGCTCCACCTCAGACCTGTCCCAGCCATTTGACTCGCCTTTCACATTGGACTGGGCTGTGTTTTATATGGATTAAGAATGAAATGAAAATGAGACTTGTATTGTCATAGCTGATTAAAACTTTAAAATTCAGTTTTGTCCTCCAAGCCTTTTATATAAGGGTGACTCATTTAAAGTAAATACCTGACACCCAATCACAGTAATTCTGTCAGGGATTTCTTTCTTTCTTTTTTTTTTTTTAACTTTCCCTGTCTCTCAGCACAGAACATCCTCTTTCTGAAGACAGTAGGTTAAAATGCCTCACCCACAATAGTACCATGGATTAAAAACGGGTAGCTTTTTCCCCACAGTTCTTCTGTTGGTTTACCACTCAGATCTCCTGAAATCCTGATAGGTAGAGTGATGAGCCTTGATTTAAAAAACAAAAACAAACATGCATATGAATGTGTCTTAAAACTCTGAGCCATGCTGGAGGTGGGTGGGCACCATGGCTAATCTTTATCCAGTCTCAGCTTTTTCTTCAGTCATTCAGAAAAAGGAATCAAAACTGCTCTTCTGCCATCTTTCCGTTTTCTCTGTCACCCCCTCTAGTTTATCTTCCTCAGCTGGGGACCCGCAAGGTTCTAATCTCCCTCCCACTGCCCAGGGGATTGAGTCAGAGAAGATCAGAAGGGGACGCAGTTCCACCACGGTTTCCCATCTCCAAATCTCTCCAGAACCATCATAGACATCCTTATGTCGTAGGACCTTCTGGCCTCTATTTTCCCTCTTAAGAGGAGAGATTTGTCCAATGGGGAAAGAGCCGTTGGGAAAATCTGGGCAGCACAGCGTAGTGGGGGAAAAGCTTGGACTTTGGAGAAAAACTAAAATTATAGCCTAAAAAAGAAAGATCTAGAATCAGTACAGCCCCAGGAGCCAGGCCTGGGAGTTCCTGATTACAGGCAAGCAGTTGTTCACAGTGGCCCAGGAAATGGTCAGAAACAGAGGGGCCACCTTCGCCTTCTAGTCTCTAATTTTGGGTTTCCTTCTAATTTCTGGTTTTCTATTTTTACAGTATCCTAAACATGGTACAGCATTTGGTGGTTTAGTTTTGGAGATATTTGAATTGCTGCTGGTCACTCCCTGGATTTCGGGGCGGGGAGCGTGTGCTTCATACTAACTGTGACCAGTTAAGCTACCTTCTAGCAGAAGATAAAGTTCACAGAGAAGGAGACTAGGGGTGAACAGGCACGGAAAACCTGTCTATTGTTCACAGTCTTAGTTTTTGATATAGAAAAGACCTAGAAATGAGTTGTGTCTTCTCTAAAGCCTGGTAGCCCTGTTCCCCAAACTGAAACCCTTGCTGGATGGCAGGATGCCCCAGGAGCATGCTAAGCTTTAATGAGAAAATAATTCTCCTGAAAGTTGATCCTGCAAGCCCAAGTTTATAAGTTTGCTGTTGTCACTTTATAATAAGTCCTGAATGTTGGTCTTCATGTCCTTTTGAATTTCTTCCAGAGATATGAAGACTATGGGATGACACCCCCTTCTGGCCCATTGCCAAGGTAAGGTTTCAGAACAGAATGTATTATGACTTTGTTTCGTAGGCTGCTCTTCTTAAACTCTGCAAACCCATGTCTTTTAGCTAATATGAGCAGAGACGTCAAGGTGATTTATATGTTCCCTTGATCTAACCAGAAGAGGAGGGGGGAAAGTTAGGATTTAAGTTCTGCTTCCAGTAATGACGGGCTAGAGAGTTTGAACCGGTCCTTCTGCTGGGAACACCTGGAAAAGCTAGATGAGATATTAATTGTTTTTTAAACTCCAAGGGCTAACAGAGCTGTGCAGCAGTGTGGGACCAAGATCTGGGAACCCAGAGAAGTGAGCCCTGCTTTGGGGTCACTTTTCTCCCAGTGGCATCTGCTGATTTCAGAAGAGGCAGCTGAGATGCTGAGAAAGTGGATGAAGCTCTAAGAGACTTCGTATAGGGCTGGGGGGAGGAGGAGAGGACCTTGATAAACACCCAAGGTTTTGAGTTCTAATCCTTAGGCCCTGGGAGAAAGGGTGGGTCATAGGCAGATTGGTCCCTTCAGAGATTGATGTTCAGCTTTGAATTTTAATGAGGGATTGCTCTCTGGCAGAACACATGTGAGTTTCCCCCACCCCCCAGAATGTTAATACGCTCCAGGCCTTACACTGTTTCTACAGAACATGTCACCCATGGACATATTCAGGCATATGAGAAGAAAAGAAAACACAGTTGAAAATAAAATCAGGAGCAACAGACAAAGCAGAACCACAGGGGATCCAGATATTGGAGCTGTCAAACATAGATTTTACAATTATACTTAATATGCTTAATATGGAGTTCAGTTTTATTGTCTGGGAAGATATATAAAAGTACCACTTTGTGTTAGACTATTGTAAGTCAAGGATTCTAGTGTAATTTTTAGGTTAACTAAAACAGTGCAAAAAATGCTTAAATATAATAAGGAGAAAGAAAACAATTTAAAAATAATCCAAAAGAAGATAGGAAATAGGAGAAAAAAGAACATGAAATTGGCAGAACTTATAGCAAGCCAATATAAGATGGTAGAGATCTAAATTCAAGGGTGTGTATGTGTGTGTGTGTGTATGTGTGTGTGGTTTCACTAAATGATAATGGCTATATATTCTAATTAAAAGACCAATATCATTATATTGGATTTTAAAAAGGGGTATTTGACTTATGAAAGACATGTCAAAAATATAAAGATATGGAAAGGATATAGAAGATTTGAACATGATTAATCAGTTTGAACTAATTGATATACATAAAACATGGAATGTTCAATACTGCACAACACACCATTTTTTTAAGGGATGGGTAGTACTGGGGATTGAACCCAGGGCCTCCCACATTCTTGGTAAGTGCTCTACCTCTGAGCTATATTCCCGGACTTTTATATTTTGTTTTGAAACAAAGCTTCGTTTAATTGCTGAGGCTGGCCTCAAACTTGTGATCATCCTGCCTTAGATTTCTGAGTAGCCAGGATTATAGGCATGTGCTTCCATGCCCAGCATATCTCTTTAAAACACGTTTTCTTTTAAGAGCTGGGAGACAAATAGCTCAGTGGCATAGCACTTGCCTAACATGTATGGTCTTGCATTCAATCCTCAGTACAACATACACACAAAAATAATGAAAAATTTACTATATCTTGGGCCATAACCAATCTTAAATTTCAAAAAAATTAAATAAAAATATATATGTTCATTCTAGTAAAATTAAGAAATAATAATAAAAGATAATTAGAAAACACTTGTACATTTAAAAATTATTCAGTACTCTGATAAATAACATATAATACACTTATAAATCACAATAGAAATTTTAAAACATTCTAAAATGAATAGTAAAGTACAATATATCAAAAGTTGTAGGATCAGCTATGGTAATGTTTGGGGGAGGGAATTGTTACCCTTAACACATGTATTTGGAAGGAAAAAATAGCTGGAAATCAGCAATCTAACTACACATCTCAAGAAGTTAAAAAAGAATATCCAATTGAAGGAAGGAAATAATATAGACTGTAAAATAGAAAACAAATCTCCTGGCAAACTTGATAAAGTAACCTGTGTAACAAATCAACAATAGGAATGAAAAAGACACATTAACATAATATTAAAAGATTTTACAAACACATTTTTGTTAATAAATTTGAAATGGAAAAATTTCTAGAAAGAGAAAATCTAAATCATCATATGATTATTAAAAAATGGAAATCATAATTAAAATTCTTCCCATAAAGGAAACTCCAGGTCCAGATGGCTGCAACAGTGAACTCTGCCAAACGTGATGGAGGGAAAGGCCAATGTTGTACAAACTAATAAAAAGTAGAAAAAGCAGTAGTGCGCTCACCTGGCATGCGTGCGGCCCGGGTTTGATCCTCAGCACCAAAAAAAAAAAAAAAAGTGGTGTCTGTGTTTAAAAAAAAAAGAAAGACTACCCTCAAATCACTCAATGAGGCCAGGGTCATTGGACCTCAAGGTCAAGGACATAAGAACAAGGTCATTGCAAGACTGGAAACATTAAGGGCCAGTTTCACTCTTGAATATAGACATGAAAGGACATGAAACCAAATACTTGCAAACACATCCAGCAACATGTACAGAAGAATATCATTTACAGCCAAATTGGAGTTATTCCAGCAATGTGAAAGTGATTTAGCATTTTAAAAAAATCATGTAACACATTGCTTTAAAGGGAACTAAGGAGAAAAATCTCATGTCGGTAGCTGCAGATAAAATGCAGTTTATTTTTTAAAAGCCAGTTTTATGTTAGTATGTTCTTGATGAAGTAGTAAAAATTAATTTTATTCAAACTAGGCCCTTGAGTCTCTCATAGTCTGTGTGACAAAAGTGGAGGTACTGACTGGACAAATAAGGCCCTTGTGCTGAATATGGGATCTTGGAGGAGAGCACTTGGTCTGCTGTTTGCGACTGAATGGAACCAACTGCCTCCTCGCTTTCTATTTAAACAACTGATGAACATCATGTTCAGACTTGGGAGTTCATCACTGTGTTGAACATGAATGAAATGAACTTCTTACTTCAAGAAAAACAACTGACAGTCTTTTTGTCAATGATAAAATTGAGCTTTCAAGTGAAAATTTAAGACGAGAACCTTTTGTCTGCCATGTTGAGCTTGAGAGCATCCTCATCTTCTGGATGAGCTTGGTGGTGCCAGTGAAGCAGGGGAATTTTTGATGCTGTAGAATTAGGCATGTGAGTGTCCATAATGTCCTTGAAATTCAGTGAACTAGTATTTCAGAGAACTTGTATTCTCCAAATGGTAAATGCATGGGTTGAAGATCCACTCAAAGTCAAGATAGAGCCATCTGATATTGTTTCAGATCCTGCATTGCAACTAATCCTTAAGGAATTACCACTTAAGTTTTGGTGTGGTCTCAAGAAGAATATCTGAAGTATTATTTAAGTACTTTCTAAGAAGGCTATTAAAATACTCTTCTTTTCTAAGAAATGTTTTGTGAGGGCAGATTTTCTTCCTAAAATAACATGTGTCAACTGGTTGTAAAATATTTGAGAATCCAGATGTCCCATGTTAAGGAAGTCTGAATAAAATAAGAGTGCCACTCTTTTCACTAATCTGAGTGGGAGGGATGGGAGAATGTAATTAAATTCATAAAATTGTTATGTTAGCATGTGATAGGTTTGTGGTTTTTGTAAATGAGTTTTTAAAATATTGAAACATTTTCTTAGTTTTCATTTCTAATAATACCATCAGTGTGGGCAGATGTAATCATATAAACAGAAACTCTTGGGAGTTTCTCAATACTTTTTATGAGTTTAAAGACATCCAGAGAACAAAATAGACCAAATTGCCTTAGAACATGGGTTTTTGCCCTCGATAGACACACCTGTGGAGTGTTTTCAAAGCCCTTGTCTTGGTGACACCGTGTCTGGGGTGCAGCGTGGGCACCAGGATTTCGTCTCCCCCAGCGATGCTGATGGACCACAGCTTTATTGGAAATCTATGTCTTTCTTTGGTCTGGAAACTAAAGCATCCCTTCTTTTTTTTTAAAAAAATAGAAGAAATATATATACCAAATCACCCAGCATAAATGGGTGAGCATCAGCTCAGTACTGAGAGAGGGCCATGGAATAGTCAAATCCACCTCAGGGGGCGGTTTCCTTCTCCCACCTGCTAGGAGCTGGAGGAGGATAAGCAAGTAGACAGGGAAGTCTGCATTTTCTGCAGGTGGGGTGGACTAGGGAGAGGCCAGCGCAGGGGAAACGCAGTCCTGATGCCTGTGCTTTGCCTTCAGGCCGGGTTTTGGCCCTGGGTTGCTGCCGTCTTCAGAGCTGGCACCTCCTGAGCCCCAGCAGCCACCGTCGTCAGCGGAAGCTCCATTTGCTGCCCGAGGGATCTATTCAGAAGAGATGCCATCGGTGGCCCGGCCCCGGCCTGTTGGGGGCACCACAGGTAACGTGGCGGTTGAGCTTACATTTCTGGGGGAATTACTTTGGGAATAAATTTAAAGGCTATAGTTTGGCTTCCCAGAGGGTCAGCGTCTTGGTGTGGAGCAGTCTCTTCTCTGGCCAGAGCTCCCTTCTCTCAGGTTCTGGTAGAGATGAGGCCAGGGGAGGGAAGGGCTGCGGCAGAGCCCCCCCAAGGCTGCTGTCTGCCGATTCCTGAATCAGTGAAACTGCGGCACGGAAGGCACGGCTACATTCTCCAGGGAACGGGAGGTCTGTGGCAGCCCCAGGACGGCATCAAACTGAGTTTAAAAGAAGGGGCATTTGTGCCTTGTAGTGAACAACCCTCAGGTTGCTGGACAGTGGCTAGAGGGAGATTTCGTTTTATTGGGTCACTTTTGGAGAGCATTCAGCCACCGTTTTCTCCTCAAGTCTCCCTGTCCCCGGAAACTAAAGCATTTTCCCTTCTGCCTTTTTAAGTGCAGGTTGAGTATCCCTTATCCAAAATACTTGGGACCAGAAGTGTTTCTGTGTGTGTGTGTGTGTGTGTGTGTGTGTGTGCACGTGTGTGTGTTTTAATAATTTAATAGACTTTACTAGTTGAGTGTCCTTGGTTAGAAAATCCCCTCCCAAATCGGAAACTGCTCGAATGACATGTCAAAGTTTTGGACTTTGGAGCATTTTGGATTTCAGATTCGAATGTAAACCGTGTTATCTCCTTTCCTTTTCTTATTGTCACTTTTGTGACCCTATGACTAAGCCCTCCCTCAGCTGTCTCAGACAAGATAGAGCACCGGTGGAAGTCGGAGCCACCGTAGCACTGTGTGGATACCTGTCCGCCCCTCTTTAAGTCCTCATTTAGAGAGTTCTCCTAATGCCATTCCTGGGTAACCAGCACCACTTCTACCATCATTCAGTGGTGGAAGTCATGTTTTCTTATTCTACCATTATTACAATTTAAATCCCTGAAAACAGCATCTGTTTTAACTACCCGATGAAATTAAAATAAAAATCTATGCCAGGATATCTCCACATAGGAAGTTAAGTTTCCAACTTCTGTTCTTAAACGAATATATGCTAAAGTGTTCAATTTCTGGAGATTTTGAAACCAGAGAGAAAATAAATTGTAAAACCTTCTAAAATATATTTATTTCATTGATTTGAGAAGCATTTTGCACAATATGGTTTACTTAGTACAGATTGTTTTTTTTTAAAGACCACAATTGAAGTGTGATTAAATTTCCTTTTATGTATTCATTTTTGCTTTTTTGGAAAGAATTATAAGCATCTGTATTTTAATAGGCCAACTGTTCCTGGGTTTTATCTGTTTTGAGACACATGTAAATGTTTCAGAAAGGAGGAGCTTTCTGAATTTTAGTAAAGAAAGAAAGGAATGAAAAATGATTTCTGAATTGAGAGACTTCAATAATCACAGTTAGATAAGGAACAAATTTATCTTCGGAAAGTTAAGAAGCAAAAACAGAAAAATACATTTGTCTCAGAGCCTCCTGAGAGTTTTATGTTAATTTTCAAACCCAGATCCCATCCTCAGGTTCAGCAGATGCTTGATATTTGGGAAGAATTTGTTTGGAACTCTTTGTAAATCTCCAAGTTTTCAAAGACAGCTCTACTTTATGATCAATGTCCCTAACTGGTCCAGTAGAAGTACAAGTGCAACACCTGAGAAAACACCTTCAGACCCCTAGGGGGCACCTGCTGGTAGTGGACTGTGTCCAGCATGGCTGAGTGGAATTTCCTCATGGCAGTTGGAAGAGTTGCCCCATCAGTTCACCCGTGGTTCAGACTTGTCCCCAAATGACAAATTGACATTCCATTTAATAGAACTTGAACTTCTGAGTAGTTGATACTGTGTAAGCTCTATTTGTGAATGCTGTTCTGTGTTCTAGAACATCTGTAGTATAAGATCTGAGCTCTCCCTATTACTTACACAGCTCCCTATTCTTTGAGAATTTTTTAAGTTCAATATCATCTTACTGTGTTCTATTACAAAACCTCAAAGTCACACTTTTATTTTTTCCATTCATTTCTTCACCCTCCTTTTGGAAGACTGAGGCTTCAGTGAGAGGCCATGCTGTGTTAAATAATTTATTTTCTTATTTTCTGAATATACATCATTCTAATGTTATCAAGGAAGTAGTTTAGGGGGCTGGATTGTGGCTCAGTAGCAGAGCACTTGCCTAGCAAGTGTGAGGCACTGGGTTCGATCCTCAGCACCATATAAAAATCAATAAACAAAATCAAGATTTAAAAAAAAAGGAGAAGAAAGTAGTTTAGGCCAATTCCAAATTCGCAATAATTGCGAGATGTTTTTCCATTTTAGTCTTCCAGGATGTTTTTATATCTTGCATTGTCTGCTAGTCCTCAAAACAAATAATGGCTGGGCACAGTGGTCTATGCCTCTAATCTCAGTGACTCAGGAGATTGAGGCAGGAAGATCACAAGCTTGAGGCTGGCTTTGGTAACCTTGTCTCAAAATAAGAAATAAAAGGATATATAGTTCAGTGGTAGAGCACGATTAGGTTCAATTTCCAGCACCACAAAGAAAAGAAAAGAAAAAGTATCCTGCTATGATATGGGACTTCTCATCCTTTACAGATGCTAGGCTTTGTGCTGAGTCTTATTTCTCTTGTGAAATGTTGAGTATGTGAGCCTTGCTGCACAGTATAAATACTAAACAAAATTCAGATTTATTAATTATTTATTAAAAATCTAGATGGATATAGAAATTCTATGTGTCACTCATTTGAAGAGGGAGTTTTATTCTAACAATTTCTAGTAAGAGAAGAAATTGTATTAAAATTTACAATGGAAAATGTTGGGATCTAGTATAATTATCTTTCTGGCTATAAAAATTATCAAACATGTATATTTCTGAATATAACCAAAAATGAAATACTACCTAGGGAAAGTTTGTGGTATATTATAACCCATAGTCATTTTTATTATAGAGAATAGCTCCTATAAATTGACAAATGGGCAAGCCTCAAAAGACGAATAGGCAAAATATTGAAAGAAATAATTCATAAGAGAAAGATGTGTGGGGGGGCTGGGCTGTAGCTCAGTGGCAGAGTCCTTGCCTAGCATGTGTGAGACACTGGGTTCAATCCTCAGTACCACATAAATAAATAAAATAAAGGCATGTTGTCCATCTATAAGTATACAAAAAAAAAAATTAAAGCTGTGTGTAGACCACATGTAGTGGTGTATACCTATAATCCCAGCTCCTTGGGTTGAGGCAGGAAGATTGCAAGTTCAAGGGCAGCCTGGGCAACTTAGCAAGACTCTGCCTCAAATAAAAAGGGTTGAAGTTGTAGCTCAGTGGTAGAGCTCTTGCCTAGCATGCATGAGGCCTTGGATTCAATTCCAGTAAAAAAAAACACACACACACATACACACACAAAGAAAAAACAGAAAAAGATGCATGTGTGTGTATATGTGTACCCTATAAAAGAAAACTTGGAAAAGGTTCCAGTTTTGAAAACAGCTTAAGAAATACAGATTAAAACCACAGTGAGGCATAACTACAATCATGAATCATTTTCTGAAGATGGTGGTATGATAAAATTTTGCTGATTAAATAAAATAAAAGATGTAAAGTGCCCCAAATAGTGCTTAGCATATTATACATTTTCAATAAATACTAGCTGCCTTTATTATTATTACTATTATGTTATTTCAGTGGCGGTGTAAATCATTAAAACATTTGGAAAGCAGTTTGATAATAGGACTCATGAATCTTTGATTTGGTGTTTTCACTTCTAGAAAGTGAAAGGAAATCCCCTAAATTCAAAACATTGGGTGGAAATTATGTGTGTCAAGATGTTTATCACAGCATTATTCAGAATAGCAAAAAAAGTATTTGCTTTTTTTTTTAAAATAGATGTTTTGTTTTGTTTTTTAAAGAGAGAGTGAGAGAGGAGAGAGAGAGAGAGAGAGAGAATTTTTAATATTTATTTTTTAGCTCTCGGCAGACACAACATCTTTGTTGGTATGTGGTGCTGAGGATCGAACCCGGGCCGCACGCATGCCAGGCGAGCGCGCTACCGCTTGAGCCACATCCCCAGCCCAGTATTTGCTTTTAGGATTCCCAGTAAGTGCATCACTGAGTAAACTGCACAGCTATTTAAGATGAAAATATAAAAAGCCAGAAAAGAAGTGCTAGCCAAGGTGGCAGGTCCCATAGTCCCAGTATTCAGGAGACTGAGGCCAGAGGATCCTTTGAGACCAGCCTGTTTCCAAAAAAAGAAAAAAGAAAAAGAAAGAAAAGAGGAGTTTAGGAATCACCAGTTGCTGCCTTGCCCACATTTGTGCTTGATCAGTTTCATATCTTCCAGTCCTTGAAATAAGTCTGATTGGGTTTTAACAGCATTGGAGATGTTGGAACGCCAGGCCCACAGGAGCGGGCTGGTCAGAGGCTGAGCTGGAATCAGCCCAGACTCTGAGCTCCACGCAGAGTCAGGGGAGAGCCTGTGCTGTACTGTTGAGTGATCAAAGCAGGGAGCAGAATCATGTCTGGATTAAGATGGCAGCCACTGTGTGCTTTCCCCCTGTGCACTTGTTTGGACCTTGGAAACCACTGTGAACACCCGGCTAGATTCACAGCTCCTCACAAGATTTGCTCAGGCAGTGCCTGCTGAGTAGACAGTGCCGCTAGTCCAGATAATGTCAGTACCGCTGTGAGTTCTCAGTAAAGGATGAGTGCTCCAGTGGAGTTCATTGCTCCGCCAGAGGCCTGGACAATTTTTCCTGACTGACTTTCAATTACCATTATGTGTATCCAGATAAAACCAGGGGAATTCTTTTCTTAAAAGCAGCTGATGAGTTAAAGTCTGATAACTAGATAACGTGGGTAGGGGTGGGCTTACAGATGGAGGGCCCTTCCCCTCTGTGAACTCTCGGAACCTGAGCATCACGGATGAACTTGATGATCCTGGGAGCATTTGGAAATAAGTATTTCATTTCACAGCACATAAACATCATATTCTAGGACCAGGAGTGTAGTTCAGTGGTAGAGCACGTGCCTAGCATTCGTGAAGCCCTGGATTCCATTCCAAATGCTGTAAAAAGTGAAGTAAAATAAGATAAGATAAATAAAGATGGCCTTTTTCCTCCTTTAATTTGCAGTGTAGGGATGTTTCCAAATACCAAAAGTTGGTGGCAGAGAGAATAGGTTATTTAACACCTGACCGTCCGAGCCACACAAGGCTACAGGTTTCCCGTGTATGGGAGTTAGTGCCACAGAGTCAACTGGTCTACCTCAGTGTCCCTCGCTGGCTAGGTGAGGTGTGAGGTGTTGTTTGTGCTATGGCTGAGTTATGGGAACACTGTGAGTAAAAGGGCCTCAACATTCTGAATTCAAACACATTTCCACCTTTGAAGAAAAAAGCAGCTGAGCTCAGTGGCACACGCCTGCAATCCCAGAGGCTTGGGATGCTGAGGCAGGAGGATCGCAAGTTCAAAGCCAGCCTCAGAAACTTAGAGAGGCCCTGTCTCAAAGAATAAAAAGGGCTGGGGAAGTGGCTCAGTGGTTTAGTCCCCTGGGTTCAATCCCTGGTATCAAAAAAAAAAAAAAAAAAAAAAAAAAAAAAAAAAAAAAAAAAAGCAGAGGCCCTAAACAATGTAGTGAAACCCTGTCTCAAAATTAAAAGGGCTGGGATATGACTTAGTGGTTAAGTACCTCTGGGTTCAATCCCCAATAACAGGAAAAAAAAAAAAGGCATATTGGATATTCTGCTCCTTGTGAATCTCAAAGCTATAAGCAACAAGAACCAGGTGTCAACTTCTTTATGGCTCTAGAACCTTTGAGTTAGCATAATTAAAAAATCAGCAGGGCCACCCTGGGTGTCACCCTACAGACAAGAGCAGAAGTGCCCTCTGTGATCCTTCATCCTCTGATGTGTCACCATTAGCCCCTGTATTGAAAGGGAATTAGAGCAGTTCCTGGCCTGTTCTTGTGGGACAGGCCATTTCTGGAGATGGCGCTGGCACTGTTTGAACCTTGCTCATCATTCCTGTCCTTAAAGGGGCCAGTGGTCAGAGCGGACGGTATCTTGCTCCGTAACCTTCCTCTCCTATAAATGCTGACCAGTGACTGCACCATGTTCCTCCCAGGCTCCCAGATCCAGCACCTGACGCAGGTGGGCATTGCTAGCAGAATCGGGGCCCAGCCCGTGGAAATCCCGCCCAGCAGAGGTGGCCAGTATGGAGGACCGGGCTGGTCTGCATATGGGGAGGAGGAAGCAGGGCGAAGGGAGGCCGTGAGTATCTGGGACTTGGGCCATCAGTTAAAATTCTCACACAATCTTTAAATTTAGCTGCTGCTGCTTGGGGAATCCGTTTTTAATCTCCCTCCCTGTTTTCACCTTGCTGTGTGTTTGCCTGTAGCTTGTAGCAAACTCTCTCCCACTTTTGGAAAGCATACGTACTTTCTTGAGGCAAATTTCGATGGCTTTAAGTAGCAAGTCTGAACCTGAAGGTAGCTAAAATCTGGACGTGGTCTTGGTGTGATCACTATAATATGAACATCCCTGATCTCACCATATGCCTTATGGGGCTTGCTGATGTCATTTCCACCATGCCCCCTGTGCTAGATGGTCTTGGAGTGAGCTCAGAGGTAGCAGGGTTTCAAGGCATAGACCTCCCTCAGTGTGGGAACAGCTAATTTCTACAAGTGCCCTTCCCTGTTTTTTCTCAAGAATTTTATATCCTCGAGGGATAAATTAATGAAGTTTGAAAATACAAGCCAAACTATCACTTTAGGTTTTATCCTTATCTTTATGCTCCGGCTTATATTGAATTTCTTAACTTTCCTAACAGCTATGCTAGATCCCAGTCATGGTTATATGCTTTATGTAGTGAAAGAAAATTCACGTTAGAGTATATTTTTCCCCAAAAGACGTTTGTTAAACTTACAATTGCAGGTCTTTGCTTAAAGTTATTGACACATGTTTTTTTCTTCTGCCTTCATTGTACTCTACTGAGATTCAGGTTTTCCAGTCAAATCCAATAATGTTCACTTTGAAGGATTTCTTTATTGCTCTATGGAGGAGTGAAATGTAGAAAGAAATAATTCAGGACTAGGAGGCCACATTTCTCTCGCTTTTAGCATTAAGGTTTTTAGTACACAGATATACCACACTGACCTATACACTAATTTAGTGCATGGATGTGAAGTTTTTTTTTTCCACTTGAGAAAATTATGAAGGATATTTTAAAAATGAAAAAAAAATCACTGAAAAGCATAATTGTTCTTGTCAAATGAATGCCAAATTAATCCATGTTCTGCAGACATCACCAGAACAATTGTCTACTTTTGTGTGTATAACTTAACTTTAAATTGCACTTGAAAAGACATGGACAGACACTGGGCCTTGGGGCCACACACCTGTAATACTAGCCACTGAGGAGACTGAGGCAGTAGGATCACAAACTGCAGGCTGGTCTTGGTGACCTAAACCCTATCTCAAAATAAAAAATGAGAAGGGCTTAGGAAATAGCTCAGTGGCACTCCTGGGTTTAATACCCAGTACCTGAAGATAGATGATGGATGGAGAGATTGGTAGGTGATTGTTGATAGATAGGCAGGCAACACAGCTCAGCGGCTGAGTGCTTGCCTAGCATGCCCCATGCTTTAGGTTTGAACCTCAGCCCTACAACAAGACCACAGATTGATAAGGCACAAGATGATCTTGTGATCTGGCCCAGGCTCCATGGTCCGCCTGAGTTCTCAGGTACATGCTCTTGGGACTCCGGACCAGGCTAAGGCAGTTCTTTCCATCCCCTTTGCTGCCCCAGTCTTACCTCCCTCTGCTCTCGAGTGTCGCCCTCTGACCTCTCACCTTCATGGGGTGCTTGCCTGCTCTCCCTTTCCAGCTCCCCAGGTCCCTGCCTGTTGTCCTGTGGTGGCGAGTCCCACACCAACACCCGCTTCACCCACTCACTCCACGCCCTGTGCACAGGCGATCAGGCCACAAGGGCCCTGCTGGAGGGCCGAGTGACCCTGGGAGGTGGGTGAGGAAGCCCATGAGCTTTCCCAATGCCAACTTGAACTTGATGTTCCCTTTGGTTGCCGCGTGGGAAGTGCAGTAACGTTTGCCATGTTTTTCAGCCTCACGTTCTTGGACATCAAGATTATTCTTCTTCACCGCTGTTTCAGGTGCCAAGGACTTCGGGCAGGGAGCCCTCAGCTCCTCCCGGGAACCTTCCTCACCGGGGACTGCAAGGCCCTGGCCTGGGTTACCCCACCAGCTCCACGGAAGACCTCCAGCCCAGCCACTCCTCAGCCTCCCTCATCAAAGCGATCCGCGAGGAGCTGCTCCGGCTCTCCCAGAAACAGAGCGCCGTGCAGAACTTCCACAGCTGATGGGCCGCGCCCGCAGGTTGGCCAAGTATCCGCTTCCCGTGGAAGCAAGACCAAAAGGAAATCAACTGAGCGGGTGTTTGTAAGCGGAATGAGCATCTCCTGGGCAAGCTGCCTGAGTAAGGGAGCAAGTGGCAATTTTAGAAGATGCCATAAGTCACACAACACCCATGACACTTTTCCTAGATTGGCAATTTGGTGGCCACTTGGGTTCAGTTGAAATGTATGTACTTTTGGCCAAAAGCCAGCAGCACTTCACAAAAACAAAACAGAAACCTAAGCTAACAATTTTGTTTAAGTCTCCTTTTTAAAGGCAAAAGATGAAAATGTGTAGGTGGTGTCGGGTTGGAAGGAACCCAGCGATTCCAAGGGATTCAGACTGACATGTACGATGTACCTGCTGCTTTGTTTTCTAAGAAGAGATTTGAAGACATTTTATTAACAGCTTGATTTCCCCTTTTTTTCTCCATAGGAACTTATTTTAATAGGAATATTAACAACAAAGAGTTCTAAGACTGTTGGGAGATTTTTTTTTTTTTTTTTAAAAAGCTACTAGTGAGAAACCAAATGATAGTTTAAGAGCCTGAAGACTCCAAACGAAGCCATCGCCTGCGTTCTTCCTCCTTTTTCTGGTGCTACAGCCCCAAGGGCCCCTTCGCCTTTGTGTCTGTGAAATGCAACGTTGGCTTTGCAAAGGAAGAATGGGTCGAAGGTTTCATTCTAGAGGGGAAAAAAAAGAAAGAAAAGAAAAGCAACTCCCAAGTGGTGGGAGAAAGCTTAATATTTATTTGGTTATTCAAAATACATATCGAAATTTAGATTTACCTTCTTAATTGTATTTGCTGTTTAATAATTGGGCAGGTGCAACTCCTGATGGCATCCCATTTCAGCACATGCCACGGAGGCCAGTCCTACAGAGTGAGGCTTTCAGGAAGTCCTAACTGGTAGATCCTTGCACTTGGCTCATGATCTGCTCACAAATTATGTTTGAATGAGAAGTCTTCTGTAAGCAGATGTTATTGAAAACAATTCCTAGGACCACCAAATTATTGTGAATCCATCCCTAGTAATCCGTTCCCTGTGTTCAAGACCTGGAAGTGGAACAGAGTCCGACTCAGACTCTGAAGAGTCAAGAAGAGTTTTGAGACCACGAGGGAAAGGAGAGAGTTTCCCCTCATTTCTGATTTTATTGTGTTATTCCTTTGTTGAGTGACTATTAAAACTGTCTCATGCACCGTGGGCCAGAGAGAGGGGGTCATCTCTCTTAGAACATGCTCCTGAAGTTTCCCCACGTCCCGCATTAGAGTCAGAAAGGGAGTGACTTGTTCTGTTTTCTGGTGCCTGAGTGAAACTCAGAGGAAATGCAGGCTTACAGAAGAGATTCCCACTCTGAGCCTCTTTTTATCAGATGAATTAATGCTTTTGATTAAACAACAGGTAACAAGGTAGAATTTGGGGCTGTGCTTTAATCAAAACCTGTGTACCTGCACCAAGTTTTAAGAACCTGGAAACAGCTAGAACAAGCTTCCAGAGTGCAGTCATTGGTTCCATAGTCATGCTTTACTCCATCCTTGGCTAAGCTTGAGGTACGGAGTTAGAGTTTGGGGACACAGGGAAAGCCAGTTCTGCGGAGTTCAAGTGTAGCCACTGTTCACCTGCCTGCCACTGAAAGACTAGGGTGCAGGAAGGTAAGTACGTGAGTCAGGTTTTTGTTCCTGTGACTAAAACATCGGATGAGAACAATTTAGAGGAAAAGTTTATTTGGAGTCATCAGTTTGAGTCCATGGCCATCTGACTTCATTGCTCTGGGCCCAAGATGATGCAGAACATCATGATGGATGGGTGTGGTGAAGGAGGCTTCTCAGCTCATGGCAGGCAGGAAGCGGAGAGCAAGGAGCCAGGGACAGAATCTAATCGTCAAGGGCATGTCCCCAGCGCCTATTTCCTCCAGCCACACCCCACTTGCCTACAGTTACCAACTAGTAGTCCCGTCAGTTATTAATTCATGCTGAGCTTGGAGGTGCACACCTGCAATCCCAGCTACTTGGAGGGCTGAGGCAGGAGGATCCTTAGTTCAAGGCCAGTCTGGGCTACTTAATGAGAACTTGACTCAAAATAAAAAGGGCTGGGGATATAGCTCAGTGGTAGAATCCCCCTGTGTTCAATCTGCAGTATTGCCAAACTCAAAGTATTAATCCATCAAATGGATTAATCCACTGATGAGGTTACAGCTCATGATCTATCTAATCATTCCACCTTGGAACATTCCTGCATTGCCTAACACATGAGCTTTTCAGGGAACACCTCATATCCAAATCATAACAGTAAGTCGATCCAATAAAGGACTGGCAGCCTCTTGTCAGACAGTCCCCAAAGGCTCCCAATAGTGTAGGAGAGAAGGCCCCCCCCTTCTGGGCTTGATTTCTTAACCTCTTGGTCCTGGCTTAATACCCAACTATCCCTAAAATGGATCCTCTTTTCATGCCACTCAGAATATCCAGACTTAGATACCCAAGCAGAGTTTTATGGTAGACACTTGATAGTAAGTTCAAATCTTGTGACAGCAGGTGGAATAAATGACCTTTTCTCTCACGGTTCTGCTTGGTGTCATAAGTGTTTTACGTATAATGTGTCCTAAAAATGGTTACCTCCTCTGTGTGTTGCAAAAACGGGTCTCTGCTTCAAGGGTGTGTCTGCAAGAGCAGAATGGATGCCTTTCAGCTACCACAAGGGGATTCTGCCTGAATTCTTAGAACCGATACACCTTTGAACAGAAGTCAAGACCAAAGATGACATGTAACAAAGAGCTGGTGGTGTGTGGCGTGGCATGGATGGGTCCTGCGGGCTGCCAGCACTCGGTCATTGTTGGGAAGCGCCCTTGGTCTGCACTTGTTTCCTCTAAACACCTGCTGCAGTAGTTTACCAGGCACCAAGTTCACTGTACTGGCTCTTGTGGGGTGCACCACGCCCAGTGGGTCTTCAGACACTGGGTTAGTGTTTTTCTACTTAAAAAAAAAAAAGTCCTTCTGTTGATCATGCATAACTTTGAAGTTCCATTTATTGGAGCACCCTAAAATTTAAATTTTATATCTGTAATTTTTTTCTTGTTTTAGAAATTCTAGTTGTAACAAACTATAAATTGGAGTCAGCATTTTTAGAGGAGATTGTTAGAGAAGTGATTTTTTTTTTTGCAGTCTACTTTATAACTAACTCCCTGTGTCAGGGGTTCTTTTTCTTAACATCATTTTCCTCTTAATCCACAAGAACATGCCTCCCCTGCCCTCCTCCCAGGATCTCAAATTGTAAGGAAATGATGTGTTCCTGTGTGCAGGCATCCCCCGAGGAGCAAGCATAAAGCACTGTGAAAATGTAAACTGTTACCTGTGTGAATGCCCCAGGATGGATGATGTGACCTGCCATGATCTGCCAGTGGGTGGGTTCACGTATATGTATCCAGAGACAAAACTGGAAACCAAGTGTGACTCGTGTTCCTCACTCTTGTTTTATTTTAAACTCACCGCCCCCTCCCCACTCCCACCAACTTTCAAAGGGCATCTATTAATCATCTTTCTGCTACTGACTTTCTGCTGTTTCCGGTACCAAATAGGTCAGCAATTAGAATCTAAGTCAGATAGTACAGATGGGTATAAAAGATGGAAGAGAGGGAAAAAAATAACATGGATTAAAGATCCATAAAATTCAGAGTATACAAGTGCTTTGGGTACTTGAAGTCATAAAAGTTGCATATTTGGAAGCAATAAGATCTTGGGGAGAGATCATCTGCAGAACCCACTTTGATGAAGACAGTGGAATTGTCCAACTAAGGGTGAGATGTATGGGCTGAGCCCCGAGTGGGGAGGGATATAGAAATTAGTGTATGCTGGCGTCAAAAATGAACTTGATCCTGATCAGCTGCAGTATGGCAAACCGCACTCTTTAGGGTGATTCAGAAGAGGAGGAAATGGTGCTGGAGGATACATTTGCTGTCACACAGTAAGCAAATGACCAAGCCGATGGAGATTTACTGATGAAGATCTCCAGTTGGGGGGAGGAAGTGGAGTATATCAAGAACTGCTAAAGATCCAATGTAAAGTGTGCAAATAGTGATAAGAATGATTCAGAGCAGATCTTGATGGCTAGCCATTCCGTAATATTAATCCTTTGTGGGGCACAGCAGGTTTTAAATAAATGTATTTGCCTTTTTTTATAGCTACACGTTTTCCTTAAATTTTATTTAATGCCAGAGTGTGTGTTGATTTTGGTGGCACGTGGTTTTTAAGGAGTGGGTTGTTGCTAACCGGATTTTCCAGGGCATGAGACCTGTGGGGCAAGGCACAGGGGAAGGTCTACTGGGGAAGGGTTGGGCTGAAATGAGTAACTGCGCCCTCTGAGTCTCCCGTCTCTCATGTTCAGGGTCAGTGTTGACTGCATTAGCGCGACGTCTTCGAGAGCACTCCAGTAACCAAACCAGTCCCCAGAGGCTGTCTGCGTGGGCGGCACCCCATGAGTTCATCATTAAGCGCCCCTCTCTTGGCCCTCGCACCCTGGAGTCTTAGACATGGATGAATTTGACGCTTGGAAGGACAGCTGGTTAGGTTCTGGGCTTGGGGAGAGGCACTCCTGGTCTAGAGTCCCATGCTAACTTGAGTTCTCTCGTGGAGTTCTTACCATGTCATTTCTACCTCCAGAGCAAGGCTCCAAAGCTGGTCGCCAGGCAGGAGCACAAGGACATCTGCCTGGGTGCCCACAGAGAGTCCACGTGAGCACGATGCATTCCTGTGGGTCAGTCCGTTGAACTTTGTTTTCACGTGTACTCCAACATGCTGCAGAATTTTTTGAACTGGTGAGAGGGGTTTCTATGAGCCACTGCTGTGACATTCTCACAAAATGTATAGACTTCACACTTGTCACCTAATGAGCAAGGAGGGCCCATGTTTCAGGTTTCTTTTGATATTTTTGGAGGGAATTGTTGATGTTTGAACTAGATCTCCTTGGTCCACTGTTGGGAAGACTTGAAGAAGGATGGTGACACGGTCCGGCCCTCATTCCATGCTGTGTGTGTGACAGCACACCTGCTCATTTATCTCAAGAATGTGTAGCAGAGCCGGGCGCCGGGATGCGCGCCTGTAATTCCAGTGACTCGGGAAGCGGAGGCCAGAGGATCACAAGTTTGAGGGCAGCCTCAGCAACTCCGTGAGACCCTGTCTCAAAAATAAAGAAAGAGAATAAAAAGGCTGGGGATGTATCTCGGTGATAGAACACTCCTGGGTTAATCCCCATGAGGGGTGGGGGACACAGTAGCATTGAAGTATAGGGTAAAAATAGTAAGTGTCTTTAGAAACAAGCAATTAGGAAACAGAGAAGCAATTGGTGTCTTCGTCTGGAACACTTTAGTTCAATTCAAGGTCCCACAGGGTAGATAATGGTCCAGGCTCCTTGCTTTGCCATCTGACTCTGGGTTTTTTCTGCTCTGGCTTCACTTTGTGTTTAAAAGGTAGTAGGGACTGAGAAGGGAGGGAATGATTCTAATCTCGCTGTCCCTGATGGCCCAGAACCACCTTCCCGGACTACTTGGAGCATCATGGATGCGCTTTTCTTGTGTCCACCAGATTTCAAGTGTTCACAACTTGACTCCAAAGTGTGCAGGTTGGGAGTGGTACAGGGACAAGTTCATGCCAGACACGTGTTCTGCTCCTCTGGCAAATGTGGGGAAAGAGGACGGGGGTACTAGGGGAACTGCGGCTTATGCCTTAGCTCAGTTGCTCTAAGTTCCAGGAAATCAGTTCAGAAAAGAGGGTGGGGGTAGGAATGCTCTCCACTCGGCCCTCCTCTGGAGCTTCACCTGGGGACCTGGAGCTTAGGCTAGAATTAACAGGAGGGGTCACCCCGTAGAGTTGCTCTGGGGTGCCCACTTGTCTCCTCGGTGAAGGTCTGTTCTGATTCTTCCTGCACCCTCTTTCCTAGATCATGAACATTATTGTATGAAACTGTGCAGAGAAAATTGGGGCCATCGGTGGCATCAATACTGCAACTTGAACTTGACAATCATGGTTTGCTGGTCTCAAACGGGCACTTAAATCTCAGTATGGGTATATGATTTAGTAACTGAACCCTCCCTTCTATTTGTCGGTTGTGTTTCTACCCTTCAATTAGCTGCACTGTTTTTCTAATGTGCTGTAGGTTTTTTGAAATAATTTATGCAAGTGTTTGGTTTCCATGTTTACAATTTTTACAGCTTTCCTAGCATTTTAAATGGAAATGTCAATAAATGCTATGAATCGGTGTCAAAGTGATATTTTCTGTTTATTTCCCTTGCAACACGATAGTTTTCTCATTTGTAAAACATGAAAAATTGGGTGAGATGACCTTTTGGTTCTCTAATTCCGTGTCCCTGGTGAGAACACCTAGTGCTGCCTTTGTTTTCCAAGGAATTAAGTTGAACGTATTCCATTCATCATGGAGTCTGCCAGATCGGTTTCCACTCACGTTGCCAGTGCCACGCCTTTCTACTCTCTGTGCTGTTTTCCTGTTACCCAGTGATGGAATTGATGCATCTGCTAAGAGCTGATTTATTTTGGAATTAAAAGATTTAGAAAGAAAGGAGAAGGTTAAAGTCCGTGCAATCTCAAAAGGTAATAGGGTAAACCTTGGAGTGGTTGATGAAACCTGAGAAAACGAGAACCCTTGGCAACTTAGAAAAGCAGATCACAGGAGAACACAGCAATGAAATGAACTGTGGAACCCTGGACAGGATCCTGAGACAGTGGCACCAACAGAGGGGGCCCTAGGGAGATCCAAGGACGTCTGTAGTTTCAACAGTTGAAGAAAGGGAATTTTACTGGGTTTGTTCTGTTTATGGTTATTAAGACTTTAATATTAGAGGAAACTATGGAGGTGTACAGAAACTCTGTACATAACTTTTGCAGCTTTTCTCCAAACCTAAAGTGATTTTAAAATATAAAAACAGTTTGGGTGGTGTAGCTCAGTGGTATAGTGTGTGCCTAGCATACAAGGGGCCCTCAGTTTGACCCCCAGCATCACAAAGCCCTGTGTTTGGTCTTTAGTGTGCATTTGCATGCATTCATTCTCTCTCTCTCTCTCTCTCTCTCTCTCTCTCTCTCTCTCTCTCTGATGTGTCCCTGCTAAATCCCACGTGGCTGCTGCAGGATAATATGGTCTTGTCCACAGCCAGAATGTCTGGCACCTCTCAGGACACACAGCTCCTGCTATCACTGAAACCACAATGAACAGTTTTGAGTCTTGCATAAGCTAAGCCCTCATGGGATCGACCCAAAGGAAAATTGAACCAGAAAAAAATTAGAGCAAATAAAGCAATATGAGAAAGACCTTAAAGAATGTTTGAGATGTTAAAAGAGCTTAAGAAAAACTAACAAGAATAGGATCTGATGGAAGTTTAAGCAAATTTAACAAAACCAAAAATAAATCTTTGAAGACAGTGAGGGGATTAAGAAAATGCATTGGTATATAATGGTCACATGATGCAATGTTTTATAGGCCTAGCTGAAGAAATAACGGTTGTCATTCATGGATCTTTATGCTTTAATAAATATAGCTTTAGATTAAAACTCTAGAACTTACTCCCCTCGGAGATCTCACGTGTTCTGATGTAAACATATTCAAAGTGAGGGAAGAGCAGGAAGCTACTAGAAGAAGCTGAGGCTCAGAAGAAAGTTCAGGCTGGTCCCATGAACTTGAACCACAATTAGCATTTCTTGTCCTGCTCTTTCCTCTTCCACTTTGTAGCTGCCAAGCACAGCTTAAGGGCCAGTGCCTGAGTCAGATCACTAGACTAATGGAGCCTTGTGGCTGGACAGTGCCCTGTTTATGCAGTAACTTTCTTCCTCGCCAGGCCTCCTGGCCCCGCCTTCCTGCCCCCTTCTGCCCATTCTGGAACAAATGGGGGGTGGTGTATGTTTGATATCCCTACTGTTAAGCCTGGAAAAAGTACAGCCACAAGTCTAGGAAAACCACATCTGTGTAGTTAAGTTTATTTGTTGTATTGGCGCCAAAGTATAGCATTACAGAAGGGTAAAATCTGAAGCACATTGTGACATTGTTTTAGAGAGCCTGGTCACAGATGGGTCCTTCAGCATCTTAACAATACACTTAAGTGTAAGTGTTTGGATTTGGGCTCTCTGGCGTGGTAGTATGCCTCTCCTCCCGCTTTTCCTCCTTTCCTCCCTCCCTTCCTTTTTAATTGAACCCAGAATGCCCTACCACTGAGCTGCATCACCAGCCCCTTTTATTTTCAGACCGTCTCACTAAGTTGCCCAGGCTACCCTTGAACTGGATGGAGATCTTCCTTCCTCAGCCTCCCGAGTTGCCGGGATTATAGGCATGTACCACCATGCCTGGCTTTACACCAGTGGTTTTCTTTCATTTGGTATTTTAAAATTCTGAGATGTTTTTAAAGAAATTGTTTCTGCAAAGTGTTTTTATAAAGTGGGGAGAAGAGGGGCTGGGTAGAGCATTTGCCCAGCATGTGTGAGGTCCTGGGTTTTACCTCAGCATCACATAAAAATAAATAAATAAGTAAAAACTATTCTGTCCATCTATAACTAAAATATTAAAAAAAAAAACCCAAAACAACAACAAAAAAAAAACCTTTAAAAGAAAAAAAGTGGGGAGAAGGGTCTTAGGAACTAATGGGGGTCTTGCAGTTCAGTGCAAGTGAGCATTGGTCTTGCTGTCCAACAGTGGTCTGCACTGTGGCTGTTTTTGAAGAGCTGTAGGGGATTCTATTTTTAGCAGAATCCAGATGAGATCACACACGGTTTGGATCTTCCTAAAGCTGTGAGAGAGAGAGAGAAATATAAGCATGGCAGCTTGACTCGGACACACTCGGTCCAAGAACCTGTGTGTGTTTAAATCTTAGATATTGTTCATTCTGGCTTCTTGGGCAGACAGATTTGATTCACAAATTAGAAGTAAAATTAAATTTGTAAAGACACAACCAAATTTAAATCAGAGCATCACACACTAAGTAGCCTATTGAACTTCACCTTATTCTGCTTTTCCTGGTCAAAATTCAAATCAGTAAATAAAAATCAAATTAGGAAATAAAAACCAGCATAATGCTACCACCAGAGATACCAGCACCAAAATTTTAGTCTTCTTAAAAAACCAAACAAACCTGGAGCTGGGTGTGGTGTAATCCTAGCAACTCAGAAGGCTGAGGCCAGAGGATCTCAAGTTAAAATGTAGCCTCAGCAACTTAAGGAGATCCTGCCTCAAAAAAAATTGAAAAAGGGCTGGGGACTTAGCTCAGTGGTAAAGCATCCCTGGGTTTAATGCCCAGTACAAAATTCCAACTTACCTAGGAATCTGTATTTTTTATTTGTTAAATCTAACAACCTTAATATAACACCTAACAGATAGATGTGTTTGTGCTGAGGGAGATAATCCATGGGAATGGGGAAGTGTGTGGATAATGTAGAAGACAGTAGAAAGAGAGAGGGCTGGGATTCAGCCATAATGGATAAATTAATCCTTTAGCATCTGAATGTTTCCCATTGTGCACAGGAAGGAAAGCAACACAGGCAAAGAGATCAGCCTGCACATAACAGAAATGGACAACACTTTTTGTTCTGGGAAAAAAATTTCAACTGAATATGTTACTATTTCTTTGGATTTGTAAACTCCAATTTTTTCAAAAAGCAAGAACATAATTTTACAGGAAATTGTCTGATTTTATGCTTTTTTAAAAAATGAATTCTGTAGGGTATGGGATCACAAGTTTAAAGCCAGCCTCAGCAGTTTTGCAAGACCCAGTCTCAATAAATAAATAAATAGGGCTGGGGATGTAGTTCAGAAGTAGAGAGCCTTTGGGTTTGGTTCCTCAGTACGTTAATTAATTAATTTAATAGGGTGAGTTCTGCTTTGTTTTCCATGACTAGTGAAATTCGTTTCAGATTAATGGGGTCTGTTATTTGGTGTAACACAGTGACGAAGGGACATGCTAGTAAGTTTTTTAAGTATTTTATGGCCCTGAGTGTGTTCTGTCTTGATGAATGTCCCATGTGAGCTTGGGAAGGACGTGCTTCTGTTGTTAGAACAAGTGTTCTATAAATGTTCATCAAATCCAGGTGACTTGCTGGTGCTGTTCAGTTCCACTGTGTCCCTGGTGACTTTCTGCCTGTTCCATTTGAACCTTTTCTGATCATGGGCTGTTGAAGTCCCCAACTGTAATAATGGCTTTGTCAGTTCTCCATGCAGTTCTATTAGGTTTGCCTCCTGTATTCTGACGCTCCGTTGTCAGGCACAAACACATGAAGGATTGTTACATCTTCTTGGAGTGTTGGCCCCTGCCTCCGTATGTGATGCTCCTCTCTATCCCTGATAAATTTCCTTGCTCTGGAGTTAGCTTTGTCAGAAATGAATATAACAACTTCAATTTTTTTTTGATTAGTTGATTAGGGTTCAATCCCCACTACTGGCAGGGGCTGTGGGGAGCTGGTGCAGTTTTGCTAGAATACTTAAAGAATAATTGTTAAAATGTCTCTTGATATTGTGCATCTTAGCAGCATTAAGGTAGAAATGGTTTACATTATGAAGTTTATAGCGGTGGAATGGAGCGGTAGCTTTGCAGTTAGGACTGTGTGTGCATCCACTTTTGCTTCTTCCTGTTTGCACAGGCTTGGGCAGCTTGAAAGGTGATAAAAACAAAAACATGTTGAGAAATAGAATTGAGTGGGAGGCTTTGTTTGAATGATTTAAAAATAATTGCTAAAATGCATTACAATGTGTTATATCCTCATCATAGAACGGTAATAATTATACAGTATACAATAGAAGAATTAGGCATTAACTTTGCAGTAACAGCACCTAAGTTTTAATTTACCTTTGCTTCATATATATATATATATATATATATATATATATATATATATTTTTATATGTAAAACCTTGGGTACCTAATTTGGTGTGTATATATATATATAAAATTTGGAAAATAAATATATATATGTGTATATATTTATGTTTTATATATATTTATATATATATATAAATATATATATATAAACCTTGGGTATGTAATTTGACCTCTTTTAATGTATATTACAACATTGTGGTTTTTGGAGTTTAGTTTTTTTTTGTTGTTGTTGTTCTTGTTTTGTACCAGAGATTGAACTCAGGGGTGCTTAACTACTGAACCACATCCTCAGCCCTTTTTAAAGTGTTTTATTAAGAGACAGAGTCTTACTAAATTGCTTAGGGCCTCACTAAATTGCTGAGACTGGCTTTGAACTCATGATGATCTTCCTGTCT